TGACGTGTTGATCGTCTGCAGTCACCTTAATAGATAACGTACTGACGTGTTGAATTGTCTGCAGTCACCTTAATATATGGCATACTGACGTGTTGAATCGTCTGCAGTCACCTTAATAGCTGACATACTGACGTGTTGAATCGTCTGCAGTCACCTTAATAGATGACATACTGACGTGTTGAATCGTCTGCAGTCACCTTAATAGATGACATACTGACGTGTTGAATTGTCTGCAGTCACCTTAATAGATAACATACTGACGTGTTGAATCGTCTGCAGTCATCTTATAACTGGCATACTGACGCGTATATACTAATATGTAAAGAGGATATCATGATTAATTAGCTGTACTATTATTGTTCTAAATTTTACATAAAATCTGAATACTAATCAAATTAAGGCAAGTTGAGACATAACTTTTCATTCTACGTAGATTTATAATTAGATACATACACAAATAAGGCAGTACATCTTTGCATGTCGCTTGCTATTTTTGTAAATTGTATTTTACCCACGTTAATCCTTATCATAATAACAATCGAATTGTTATGAGGTCATCGGCAATTGTATTCTTACTCTTATTTACTATTTTTTTCTTAAGTTTTGTAAACGTTAGGTTTAACGTATTCTAATTCACCTCGTCTTTTTTTAAATAGTAAAACCGCCAAGAGAGTTATTATAAGTCGAGCACATAGGCTCGTTTTTACGTAAACTATAGAATTACTGTGACTTGAAATATCTACAGTTTGTCTTTGTTTGTAATTAATTTATTGCAGATAACGTGCAATGGTTTCCAAGCCGGACAAAGACCCACCTGATGGTGGATGGGGTTGGCTTGTTGTCGTTGGAGCATTTATTGTTTTTTTCATGTCCAGTGGAAGTTATTTTGCATTCGGAGTGTTGTATGTTGCATTCATCGATGCTTTTGAAGAATCGAAAGCCGCGACCGGTAGGTACATTTATACTAGTTATTTCAATTAATGGGCCACTGCGGGTTTTGGGAAAACAGGTAATAACATATTGTTTTAGCAATGGTCTGTAGGGACCGATCAGAATAATGCTTTCACTCATCGTCTCTCAAAAACAACAACCCAATTTCCGTTATTGTTTACAATATTGTCATAAACTTGTCAAATTGTATGCATGGAAGAAGTAGTTTAATGGACATTTTCGATTATATTGCATAGGTTACTCCCTAATAACTAATAAATTATACGGTTTAATTATTTAAATATGTAATGATCAGTCTATTGGGGATGATTGTACAAGCTCATACTAAATTTGAAGCTGAATTAGCAATTTATGATGATAACATTTGCAAGTTATCAACTCTTGAGAAATTTAAGTGCTTGCTAGGCACTAAAGATAGCTTCATTGTCAATTGCTTTGGAAAATTTATTGATTTTATTTCATCGGCTTTAGTCCATTTTTGTTTGTTTTTCTTGACAATTGATTTATTGTACGTTTTTTTTCATTCATACTAAATTTTGTATCAAATAAAATCTCTATATATTAATTTCATAGCATGGGTTGGCTCCATCTACTACCTGTTCTTAGTAATGGCGGGCCCATTTGGAATATGTCTGTCTTCGCATTTTGGACACAGATTGGTTGTAGTTATAGGTGGTTTGATAGCTACTGCTGGACTAATATTAACATCGCTCGCTACGGATTTATATCAAGTATGTCTTACATACAGTGTCATGGCAGGTATGTGTACGCGTTTGATGATGGTGTTAAATAACTGAAAAGTTACATTGTGAGATGCATTTTTTTATCTAAATTTAGATCTAGTTAGAATTCCAGTATTTCTGGCCATCAATGTGCGACTTCAAAATTATTGTGTCATTTTCTAATTGACAAGTGCATTCAAAATAAATATTTTGAAACATTTACCCCAGAACACTTTCTATTGTCACGGTAACTATCAATAATACTGACGTCACACTATTGTAGTATGCGTCATTATTTTAGCTATAACCGCGAGGCGAGAAATCGTTAGTTATAGTTTGTTCAATGCAGTTTGGGTAGTTCTAAAACCACCCGGAGTTTGTTCAAGTACGTATCTCCCATTATAAATGTTAACATGCAACGTTCATTAACAATACCTGGCATTCGAACAATATTTTCTTTTCATCGGTCAAATAATGGCATGTCCTGTCTATTGACTAAGCTAAGTAGGGGGTGAGTGCGAGGAGTGACGCATGGCAAATACATGCATGTATTAATGGTACCATGCCGTGTATAATATTGTTTGTTTCACTCACCATTCCATTATTCATCATCAACAACAAGCAACCAATGGACATACAATAATATGTAAAAATATCGATTATTAAAACAAAGAGCGAGGGGTTCTAGAACCTATCGGCAACCTGTATTTCATAAATAGAGGTGACTGGGTTATTTGAAATTCTGTTGGTGGATATGAACGTTTCGGGATTAACATATTTGAAAACATATATTTACAAGAAACAAAAGAAATGCGAACAATATGTGTTCTAGAAAATAAAAGTAAATTCACTCTTCCTATAAATAAAGGTATTACTAACACATAATCAGTTACTATGTTCATGCAGCTAGTGGGTATGGTGAAACTAACCGTCACCCTGAGTGTGTGTAATCCCTTGCTTGTAACGCATTAACATTTTCATCGCGAATCTCAAACAGAGGTCTCATAAATATTCTCAATTAATAGGGCTGAATTTTTTAAACTGTTCCACAGACCAGCAACTATTTTGCTAGAATGTATTGTTAAATGACGTATAAAGTGGATTGCGTTGTAATAAAATGTCAAATTTTAACATCTAGAAGGCATGTAATAATCGAATGAATTTATGAGTCGTTGAGGGCGTTAAATTAAAATTAGTCTGATTAAAATCCGATGTAGGTATAAGTTTTGTTTATTTATTTATTTTTTTTGGTATTGCTTGCCATTATTTTTTATTTCGTATCTCGGTCGCCTTAACTACATTTACATCTAATTGCGTGAAGACATAATTTCACAGAAGTTTTTGATACTCCGTGTCATATATCCCTAGAGGAATTTTTCGTGATTTTCAACATTATTCTTTCACAAAATTAAACTGTTAGATAAATATTTTCAGTGTTTTGCTTTCTGAGCTCACTCTTATGAAAAATTCGTCACCAATATGAAGGATAATTAAGTAGTGTTTAAAATTCAAAATATGGATGCATAGTCGTCTCGATTATGTCTCAGATATAACTGAGAAACCATTTTTAGATGCTGAATTCTCTGTCAGTACGTAGCGAGGCCGGTTTTTTTCGTGTTCACCAGTCTTCACTGTTATGTTTCAAGATTAATATTTAAACTAATAGGTGAAAGAATATGTGAATAAATGCTCAAGTTGCAACTAATTTAGCATTAACGATAGTTGTTTTTATACTGCCCTTTATATGTTACAAAATATGCCAAAGAAATGTACCCGCTTAAAATAATTGTACTATATTTTATTTCATGTGACTCGAAACATGCGCACCAGTGTAAGTTGGCAATATATTCTTTATTTACGCTTTACAGTGACACACAAGCCAATGAAAACGACTAGTTAGTACAATTAGTACCACCTTCTTTTGGAAATCGTTTAATAAATAATGAGAGTCGTGAATCAGAAAAACGGTGTGGTGATTGGGGAAAGGTACATTTGGGATTTAAACTCATGACTTTCAAGAAAAGTCTAGTAAACTAAAAATATGGAAGTAAAAGTTGTATAACTTAGCGTTAGTATATCTTTACCAAATGTTAAATTTTCTATAATACAACAGAAACTTTGAAATATAAAAAAAATTGTGTGTGACCATGGAGGTATAAGACTTTTACCTCTATGGTGTTTTGTACATAACTGCTTGTTCAATCCCCAGATTTTCAAATGGTCTACCCCTCAGTGGTGTGGTAAATAAGATGAGTTTTGTGCGTGTGGTTCAAATTAGGGAGCCCTCTTCTCTCGAAGTGTCTGGCTTAGGAATCGTCGAGGAACACGAAGGCCATAAACGCTTGGCTTTCGTCGGTTCTCAATTCCTCAATTGTTATATAACTGACAAATCAGTTTCTTTCTCACCAGATTTTAACATCGTCACGTTTGCATCTGTAGGTTTTGGCTGTGGCTTGTGTTTGATACCTGGAATAGAAATGGTGAGTGTATACTTTAAAAAACGATTGGCACTAGCCCTGGGGTTATGTATGGCTGGTACAGGTGCTGGTCAAATATGTTTCGCTTTTTTAAGCCAGGCATTGCTGGATATATATGGGTGGAGAGGTATGATGCTGATACTGTCTGGAGCGATGTTACATCTATGTGTTGCCGGGGTCTTATTCAAACCATTACACGACATCCGGAAATCTATACCTACAACTAATTATTCTGCTATCAATGATGAAACGGAAGTCATCAACGTAATTTTACAAAATGGGAAAGAAATGACAATATATTCAAACGAGGGACTGAAAAATACAAGTGATGTAGACAACACTTGCTGCGTGAGGAAAATGAGATTCTCTTGTGTTACGTCGGCACTTTCATCTCTGTTTGCCTGTGAGATGTTCAAGGAAACAGTCTTCTATCCAATTTTGGTAGCTGGACTGGGACAAGCTTTTGGACAAGCCATTGTCACAACGCATGTGGTAGGTGTACAATGAGAGTTAACAAACTGTGTGGCGTAGAATGTATAAATTACATGAATAAAATAGAAATAACAATCATACCAATCTAATATCCAAACAAATATAACAATAATAAAATAATACAATTTTTTACCTGGATATTATACTATATCAATGTAAGACACATGTAAGAGGGAAAAAGCACATGCAATAAGGAGACTGAAAATATACCCCTACTGAGTGTACTAGTCGAAACGCATAACCCTGCCATAAAAAGCCAAGCGAAAGTTGAGCCACAATTTACTTCCGATTTAAATAGAACGTTTTTAGACAGTATTTCGTGAGATTCATTTACTATTTATTTAAGATTAAAATAAAGCATGAATGAATTTTAACCAAAATCCTGCCTGATTTAGTAATTAGTTTATCTGTAGAATTCCTTCCGAATTCACTTCTACACAAACAATTCGAGACCATTAACACTCGTATACCTATTATTGTCACATATAATAGAGGCCTTCCAGATATCCATCGAATTCTTCATAAAAACTTGCCTATCCTGCACCGCTGCAAAAAGATGTTCCACTTACATTTTTTTTGTACCTCCAATAATACGTAGAGGGTTTGTATTGTGGATAATATAGAAGGATTCTTATATCACTCCTTACACTACTAATGTATCGTGTCCCAAACAGTAGAATGCAATTCATTTTAAACTTTTTAATTATGGTATAATACAGGTTGGCAGAGCACGTGACTTTGGCATGCCAGATGCAAAAGGTTCCCTGATTCCAACAGTGATGGGATTTGGTCAGCTGATTGGAAGGCCAATATTTGGCGCCGTTTGCAATTTTCCCCGTGTGCGTTCTAATATAGTGTATGGAATTACCATGGCTATGTGCGGGATTATGTCTGTCATTAGCATCTACATAGAAAGTTTAACTGGTACGTTAATTAAAGAAAGTGTCGGAGTTTGTTTCGTTAATGACGTCAGTTACACGTATGCGCAATGAATTAATGGCACATACCCGCAATTCAGAACAAGTTCGTTTGCGTAATCCACTGTTTCATCGTCTGCCTTATCTAAAAACACGTTGAATTATTAACCAAATCTAAGAGATGAAAATGTCTATATGTAATTGGTATTAATTGACATATTCATCTCTATAAAAGTAATCCAAACTATTTTACAGGTCAGCTTATATCTATCTTTGTGATTGGAGTCGGTGTTGGCGGATATGTTGTTCTAATTTCCTTTGTTGTGTGCTGTTTTATGGGGATCGATAAAATTGGTCCTGGTTCATCAATTACCTACCAGGTGCATGGAATATTTGGTTTAATAGCAGCGCCTATATCAGGTGAGAACTATTTCAGTTCTGTGTCATCTATTGTTTTATTCCACTGTGCCGTATATTCTAAAAACGTAACCCAATAACAAACTTTTTTTGAAGCCACGGGGCATCTCACTAGGCATGCGCATGCGTCGCACGGTGCGTTGTCTCACGAACATCTTATTGTTATTATAATGTCTTTTTCATGGTATAAACATGTTCATATCTTAAATAATATGCCCTCCCAATAACTGCGCCCTCTATCGCTTCGGTGACGTAGTATCGTCGAAGAAAGGTTGCAGCAAGGTCGTACACATAGTTATCTGCGCCTGCGCGAAGACAGTAGGGCGTTCATTGTGGTATGTACGTACACATACCACCCACACGACACAGCAAACTTTTAAGGACGAAAAGTCGAAAATCAAAGTCACAGCATGTGTTCATTTTTTTAGCTACATAAGGGCGCATTACCAGACTAAAGATCAAAGGTCGTGGTCACATTAAGCGTTTATATATTTTATATTGGCCACACGGGGTGATAGCTAGAAACTTTAAATTTAGCACACATGTTCCCTATTTAACCCCACATGACGTGGCAATTTTTAGTGACAAAAGGTCAAAAGTCACTCTGGCTCTGGGTATTGTTATGAATATTGAAGAAATCTAGAGCAGCCTGTGCTATCTAGTTGTATTGGTGATGTAGTCGCGCGTGATGTAGGAAATCGCGAGTCTCTAAAAACCAGTATTTTTACTGACAGATGATTACGCCCCAAAACAATAAACGCAGTGATTATATTGGATTGACGCTATGTGTAATATCAATCAAATACTTGTATATTTTATCTATATAGGGTTAATGCGGGATACGTACGGTTCATACGAAGAGGTTTTCTGGTTGGCTGGTGTAGCTTATGCAATAGGTGCAGCCGCGGCATTCCTGCTTCCATTAGCGAAAAGCAGAGACGTTAAAAGAAGGAAAGATGGGAGAGCTTTTGATAACTCGATGCTCATCACTGAAGACTATTTAGACCGGCTACTAGTCACAGAATACCTGACTACATTATAGAGTGTCATCTCTCATATTCTAATGGGAGTAGAGCCAGTCACATAGAATCAATCACAACATACTTCTCAGTTTTTGTAAATCAGGCCGAAATTCCACTCTTATCATGATGACGTCTGCATGTGGGACGAAATACCAAGTACTAGCTGCCGAATTTGGATATCGAGATGCAAAATGTTGAAAATACAAGACAGATACGGCAAACTCGATTACTGTGACAATAACAACTATATTGTCAATAAAGATGCTGAAAACCACAACGATATTCATTTGTGCGGCGCGAGCAGCTGACAAGACTACGCCCTCTTGGTACAACACAAATGAAGCACACAATTTGAGTGTGTAAACAAAAGCGCAAACGGGTCGGCAGTGGAATCGGAAGATGACTATATGACAAGTGGAACATAGACTAAATACCACCACATTGCTGTGGATAAGTTTTAAAATGATGACGATAATGTTACCAATCTAAACTCTTCAATACGTACTATGTCGTTCTTATATCCAAGATACATTCGTGTTCAAATTACACTAACATCGTGGAAAACAAAAATCTCACCTATAAATTGGCATACCATATGCCTGAGAATTCCTGGTGCAATATTGAGATCAATAATCATAGTTGTATATGCTTCAATCAAATCAGGTGTTTTACAATAATAATTACCAGTTATGAACACATCAGAAACGAGGGCGCACTTTATTGATCGACTCACACAAATCAAATTTAGAACACTTGGGCCGAAAAATAAGAAAAAAATGTGCCCGATTGTAATATCAAGAGTGGCAATAAAGTAAGTTACAAACATACTGTTATTTAATTTCATCAAGTTGCTGTGAAATAAATTCGGATGGATCGTGACACCAGCGCAATTTTCTTCATCTGTACAACATACGCATATCACGCAGTTTGTCTCTCATAACAGCGGACGAGGGCGCACGTCTCAAGTAAGTATAAATTGAAATGAAACCTGTTGTAGAATAATCATACACATAACATTTGTGTATACGTTGTTTTACAAACTGGGGCAAATAGTTGGATGTAATTCAGTGTATATACAGATCAGTGCAGTATTGTTCCCCTGATTCGATTGTTCAGGTCTTCCACCTGGAATAATCAACATCCGGTTGCTTATTACCCACCTCAATGAGACCCACAGAGACAGAGACCCCCCCCCCCCAAATATCACAGAGATCTCTTTGAGAGCGAAAGTGCCACATGACCCCGCCCTGAAAATCCACAGAGATCTCGTTGAGAGCGAGAGTGCTACCTACCCCCCCCCCCAATACCAAAGAGGTCTCGTTGAGAGCGATGTGACCCCAAAATACTGTAAATACAGTAATTATTCATTAGTTTTTAATTTCGCTATTTTCGCTGCTAAGTAAAATCCGCCAAATTAAAACCATATGAACATATAAAATAACAATCAAAACATCAAAATAATGAAATTAAATGTCAGTGAAAATAAATAGTTTTACAGTACCATAGAGATCTCGTTGGAAGCGAGAGTGTCACATGACCTCTTCATTTTACATCAATTCATTCAGCTTGTCTGTGTGACGCACGTGATGATGTTACGCCATCTTTGATTTTGACTCAACCCGTGAACACCGTACTACTAAAGTTGACGTTGAAATAATGAACGTACAACAAATTTGATCGCAGCTTTATTAGTTCGTATTGATCTATTACAAATAGAAACGAGGTAAAATCTGATACAAGTTGAGTTAATTACACTCAATGTGTTTAATTAATTTGATATGCGTAGAGACGCGTCTTCTGATTGGCTCTTCACTGAGGTGAATAACTGTTAAAACAGAAAATATGCATGACATAAGTAATCAATTGCATTATTCAGTGAGACAATAACTGTTATACACTCATAGTATATTTTAATGAGAGCTTGTGTTCAGGAAAATGGGTGCAGGAATGTTACTGACAGCGTCTATAGGAATTTAATGATCGTAGCACGACTGCCCAAATGGTGTAATTAAGATGGTAGATATAATGACGTACTAGGACATAATAACACGTGACATTGTTACCATGCTGTATTGTAATGTCGCAAAGTCGATCAAATTGAACAAATGTTAGAATTATCACATACTTCAAACTGTTATACACAAGAAGGTTTGGCGTTCCATCCTCTTCTTTGGCGTCTCCAACAATTCCTTGTGTTGCATCTTCTTGGATCTTCTTCCAGACTTCGCTAGGTGTTAATGTGGGATCATTGCCAACAATCACTGCGCACACACCTGGAGACGAAACACGGCTAATATCACATGCGCAGTCAGATTGACAAAATCTCACAAGTCGTCCTACGATTTTAGATTTAACTCCAATATGGAAATCAACATTACAAATCAACATTTTCATTATTAGGGTTCATATCAATAGTATATGACTTTTTCATCCCGTGTGACCCGAGCAAAATGTCTATATAATATCAGGACACCCTATCACCCCTAGAAACTACACAAATGTTGCCCTTTCAATGATATTTCGAACTTTTTTTATGTCCGAGTGGTATTCCCGATAATAATAAAAGCATTAAGAAGATGAACGCGAACCTCCCTATATACTAAAGAATATCCACAGTGCCATGAAACACATAGATGACGGGACATAGTTTATCTTACCAGCCACGTGGGGACATGCCATTGAAGTACCACTCTTGACACCAGTGGATATGGGACTGTCATCGGTACAGCTTGTGATCTGGTCACCAGGAGCAAAGATGTTCATGCATACACCCCAGTTTGAATATTCCGCTCGAACGTCGTTACTGTCAGTGGCACCGCAAGCAATCGCCTGTAAAATTAGTAATTTTCATTGAAATCACATGTGAAGTTAGTAATTTTCATTGAAATCGCCTGTGAAGTTAGTGATTTGAATTGAAATCGATGTGAAGTTAGTGATTTGAATTGAAATCGATGTGAAGTCAGTGATTTGAATTGAAATCGATGTGAAGTTAGTGATTTGAATTGAAATCGATGTGAAGTCAGTGATTTGAATTGAAATCGATTTGAAGTTAGTGATTTGAATTGAAATCAACGTGAAGTTAGTGATCTGAAATGAAAACACGTGAAATGTTTTATTTGAATTGAAATTGCCTGTTATAAAATGCAGATTTGAATTTAAGTCGCACGTGAGGTTAGTGATTTCTTGCATGGTATTCTATTATGAATGTTGTCTCTCACCAGCTCAGCACTTGCAGGGGATTTCAGACAAGCATCGCCATGTTCACGACCATCGTTACCAGCAGACACGGAAACAAAGAAACCAGCCAACACTACGGAATTGACAACGTCGTTGTAAGCCTCTGACGCGGATCCGCCGATTGACATAGAAATACCGCCGGGAAGTGTGCCGTTTTCACGCACGTATTCCAACCCTGTGGATGTCAATAATCATGAATTAACGAAAGTTAGGACATAGTGCGCCCCAATACGTTATCATATATGTGTCCATACCCGGGATAAAAATCTGTATTGTTCAATTCTCACCTTCGATGATAGCGTCCCTTGGACCAGACCCAGTGCATCTCAGAACCCGCACGCTCCAAAGGTTTACCTTCTTTGCGATGCCGTGAGCCTCACCACCAACTGTACCTGCGCAGTGAGTTCCATGTCCATTGCAGTCGCCATCCTCTGGCTAGTAATTACAAATGTTTAAAAGTATTTAAAAATGTTGCCAAGTTAGCCTAATATTCAAATGTTCACTGGTTATCATCAACATCATTTGCTATGAGCAAAATAATGTGTTTTATATGGTTCTTGCTGTTAGGAAAGAATCTGAACAGACACTGTATAGTTCCAATGTATACACAAAATTCTAAGGTGTATTGTATACGGCGACTTTCAAGTTGATGCATTATAATTAGCAAGAATAACAACTTTCCACAACTACTGAATGAATCAGATAGTTAGTGAATATACATGATTGGTGGTTAAAATGTAAATGTTACGATGATGTAAGCGATATGTTTACTTACTGGGTTACCAATGGCATCGTAAAAGGGAGCAGCCCGGCCACCAAAGTCTACGTGGTCGAACCGAATACCAGTATCCAAGACATATACATTGACCCCAGCACCATCGCCTATAATAAATAAACAAGTAATATTATCATGACAAAATATGCCGGGAAAAATAGTCTGTATGAACCAATATCAGAAAACTTATTTGATCGCCTTAGTCTCATGGAAAATCATTTACACGATGAAAATAAATTCATGAAGTGAAGGAAATCAATTCAATTGTTTAGCTCTAATCAAACAAAAATAAAAAAATGAATAGCGCAAACTACCGCATCACATTTGAAACATTTCTTATAATTATATCTTGTTTCAACCAGACATACTATTAATCGCACAATTTATCAAAACCGCACATAATACTAAAAGTTTCCTAAAGCGATAAACTAATAAAGATAAACTGTCTTCTGAAAATGAGTCTAGATAAAAGTGTACGGCCATAAGAGTACAATGTTTCAGTGATATCACAAACGCACGGACTAACTTTATCATAACTGCTTTATCCAAAGTCTGAATTTGACTAATGCGGGATGGCGCGAAAAATCTGATTACCAGTCTGATTGACATGGCGCCTAGATTAGTTTAAACGCGAACTCCAAGAGCTCTTTGTTCTAGAGAACTACAATCAGGGACATTGATGTATGTGTGTTGTTCGTAACGTTCGAGCATGCATCTAGCAAATCTATTACCAAAGGAAGTAATAACATCTGCTGCGAAATCATGTGTATTTGACTCATAGTAAATATAGATAGTAAAGTCATGTATGATATAGAGGTTATTACACGACAATCACGTGATATTATTCTCTATTTTTGTATATTGATATCGTGGATATTGTTGTATAACGAACTCTTATTAGTCCATTGAAAACGTGTAAAGGTGTGCTGATAACTGAAATACACACAAGAACTAAAATCACTGTCTATATGAAATACACCTCTTACCTTCGGGTACGAAGACATCGTCGAGTGGGAGGTACCTCTGGTCAACGCGGTCCAGTCCCCAGCTGGCAATACTCTGATCGGCGAACACCAAACCATTCTGTTCAATATATTTCACTCCATCCATACGTTGAACCTTAAATTGTAAGATAAATATTTACGCAATATCACGTTTGAATCTGGAAAATCCATTATTTTGCGTTATTTTATTTATTATACACGGTACTAACCCCTAATACTCATTCGCCTATTTCGGGGTATTTTTTAGTTTCTTTTAGGTTATTGTCTTGACTTACGAAATGCAATGCTTTCGGCATAAGTTCAGCAGAGAACGCATTAATGATGGTAAATCGTCGAACAATCTCAACACTGAAGGAATGGACTTCGAGCAGCCCATCGATGAAACCATCTCTGTCGACTCCATCCTATAAAATAAAAAAAATAAATAATAAAACGTCATGTATTGCCATTCAGTGTGACGAATATAATTAGACGCCGAACATATGGCCGATCATTACCGACTGGCTTGCAAATGAATGTATAGCGAATGGAATGCCCCAGATTCAAGGCTATACAATGAGATATTACTGGAACTGTATCTAGGCGTTAGTGGAGTGGTTTATAGCGAGTGGAATGTCACATAGATTCTAGGCTATACAATGAGATATTACTAGAACTGTATCTAGGCGTTAGTAGAGTGGTTTATAGCGAGTGGAATGTCACATAGATTCTGGGCTGCACAATGAGATATTACTAGAACTGTATCTAGGCGTTAGTGGAGTGGTGTATAGCGAGTGGAATGTCACATAGATTCAAGGCTATACAATGAGAT